CCATATATAGTTAAATATAAAGCTGTCGTGATTTTAATGATCTTAATGCTTAAATACTACATCTCCTAGTAGGATCATTTCCAATGCTGTGTCATGATGAAGACTGATGCAGTTTTGGGGTCTCACCAGGGATCCCAGAGGTCAGGAGGAACCTCCCACCAGGGACTTGTCCGGGCTCACAGCCATTGCAGTTGGTGTGTGAGCAGGATAATTCCTCCTGTGACCCATTTCGTATGTAGAGTTTGTCTCTTCACAGATATTTAAATGCTGTTGTTTGGAAGGGTAAACAATTCTGTAGCAGAGGTGGTGTTGGATGGAATAGAAACTGGGGTTTTTATAAGAGCTTCTGGTCCTTCTGTACTGAAAACTTTTGGGAGGTTGGAGGGAGTAGCAGTAATTGGGGACGAGGTGACATCCCAGAGCATTTCTCTTGTACTCAGTTCATTCACAGTTGGCACCAGTGGTTCTCAGCTGCTGTTCAGAGGACTCACATTTCATTTCTCAGTCCCTCTTCTCTCCTTTTCCTTCTGCTGGGAAGCTCAGAGGAGCCACAGCAACCTGGCCGCCTTTCTCCACTTTCCTTGTGACGGGTCTGGCAGGATGTGCTTGGCCACAGCTTTTGCCAGAGCTTTCTTCTCACACAAAAATGCGCTAAGGAACCGCATTGCCAGCAGACACTGTCCCACTGGAGAAGATTTACAGCGTAGCCTATAGGAAAGGATGGTCCCTGCTCCCTGGCTGAGCTGCAAACCATGCCGCCTAATGACCCAGGGCCCTTCGCAGGGATACTAAAATATTGTCGTGCTCTTTTGTTCTGACACTTTCCTCCTTTTCAAATGTAAGATTTTACCATATTTTTTTTTTTCTCGAAACCACAGAGGCAGAGATTGAAGGCAGCCCTTTGAATTTGTTAAAATTTGACTGCAGGGTTCCTTCCGACCCCTGTGCTAATTTTTAGCAGAGCAGGAAACATTAAAAATAACCATGAGAGAAGATTTCCCAACTCAGAAGGATTGTCCTCTTAATAATCTCTGGCTTCATTTTCACTAGATATTTTTCTCCCTTAAAATTCCTGTAACTCTGCTAGGGCAAGGACATCCCTGCCAGCAGCAGTAGTGGCACCAGAGGAGGAAGGCAAAGGGCCAGTTAGCCAAGCTGGCACCCAAGCTTGCTCTGAGCAGGGGTAAGGGGCGTACGGGGGAAAGGCTCATTAATTATTGTAAAAGCTTTGGCATGTGAATCAGAGCTTGCAAGCTCCATGTCTTCCCACTTAGAACCTAAAACCTGTTCCCAAGCCTTCAGCTGATCTCAGCATTGAGTGAATCTCACTTTTTGCAAAAAGAGGTGACGTTTTGGTTCTACATCTCAAGACTTCTGAGCTTCTGTGGAAACAAAACAACAACAAAAAATTGAAATTTTAAAAACATATCTGAATGCAGCCCTTTCCTCTGGAGTTGAAATGTTGCATGACCAAACCAAGGTGTGCAGCAAGAGCACTTGATGTAGTAACAAGCTCTGCTCAAGCCTTGATATCTTATCTGACCCATGTCTACATTCCCAGCATCGCTGTATAAATATATATTGTTAAATAATATATCATTAATTTGTACCATAAAATATATATCATTATATAAATAACATCCTCACCCAGGTGATGGCAGTGGGGATGCACCATGGCTTGGGTCATTATGCCCATAGGAACACCAGGAGTTTACATTACTAATTGTGAAGGGTGAGTAATTGCAATTCCTGCTCACCCCTGCTCCATGTCACCTCCTCCTCCCATCCTGGCAACCTGAGGGCCTCCAGCCAGATGTTCTGGATATATTTTCTTTATCAAACTGACAGCAATGTTTCTTCTTGTCTCTTCAAACATGGAAGATGCCCTGTGGAGCTGTGTTGGCCCAGCACCCAACAGAGATGGTCCTTACTGATGCATGGTCAGAAAATGAGGTCTGAGTTGATCACAGATAGGAATGGGCTCTGACATCCACCCAGCGATGTCAGCTGGGACCACATCAGTGTCATCTTCCTCAAAGCATCCAGGACCAGTGGGTTTTGTCCTGCTTGGCTGGTGCAGTGATGGTTTTGATCAGAGCCATGTTTGGGGGGGAAGTTGATTGCATTTGCTCTCTACCTTGCCTTAAAGCATCAGGTTTGTTCTAGGCAGAAGTTTCATCCGCTCTCGATGTAGTGAGCATTTAATTATGTAAAGTGTGATCATTGTGTGTGTGATTTGGAGCAGAAGGCTTGTAATTGAGCGTGGGTAAAGGCATGAATTAAATTTATCCCTGGGCAAAAAGCACAGTATGAAGCCACTGCGATGCTTTCTCTTACTTGGGCCTTGTAATGAGGTGTCCAGAAAACTCACCTTTTTCTTACAGTTTGTGTTGGTTGTTTAAGTGGAAGCGATTTACGTGTCCCCAAAATGAAAACTTCTGTAGGAGGTGGGTTTTGAATGAGGGAATAGGGGATTACTTGTTGTTTTCCTGTTCCTTAGTTATCAAATAAACTAAAGATTGTTTTGTCTTTAAGATGACATGGAACAGAATTCAAATAAAAGACAATAACAATCTCAACACATGGGTGCTCCTGAAAGTTGCAGGCAATCAAGTAAGCAAGCCCAGATTTCAGATGCTCTCTCTTTACACATGCAACCCTCTGACTGCTCTCAAGAACCCTTCCTGTGCTCACACAGACATTTGGTTGGTCAGGTAGAGTAGAGTCAATTAAATCTCCAGCCCAGACTAACAAAATGTTTCAGAATCTGAGTTAGTCTTGTCTGTTCAGTGGCACAGCTGGCCAAGAGCCCCTTTGAAAGCCCAATGGATATTGTTTCTCTCAAGCATTAAATGTTTTCCCTCAAACAAACATCCTTTGAATAGGCCATTGTTTTTCCTTCTGGATGTCCCTTTGTGGACTGATACAAGAATAGCTAAAAGCTGATGAATGGGTATTGTAAATTAAAAAAAAAAAAAATCTGGGATTTCTACTCCTTTGAGAAGTTGAATGTACTGTGAGTTCTCTGCTTGGGTCCCATGTCTTGACCTCTGGAGGTCAGAGAGCTGCATCAGGAGCTTCAGGTGAACCAGCTCAAACAATCATAGTTTCAGGAAAGAAGCTCTGTGGACCCAATGCCTTTCCCAGGTGTTATAACGTAAGGAATTGAGGTGAGATAAAGTATGGGAGGGGTGTTAGGGGAAGTAGTAGTAGTTTGGTTGTAACCTGCAAGCCTTTGCATTAACAGACACAACTGCTTTCATTTATATTTTCCATTAACACTGCGTAGCAGTTGTGTCCTGGTATTTCCTTATGAGAAACAATACACATAGTTGGACAATATAACCTGTACTTGGTCACTCCAGCTATCTCGTGTGTAAAGGAATCTCCATTTATTTTCAGCTGAACATCTCTTGTACAGGTCTCCTAGTCCTTATAATGCAGGTACCGATGCCCTGCCCAGGATTCCACTGCCTGGATTTACCTCTTTTCCTAGCAGAGCTCTGTTGTTTCATATTCTAAGAGCAGGATTTCATATTCCAAGCCCTGTCACCACAGCCACTGCAGACTGATTTATTCCTTATCGATGGCCGGAGCAGTGAGCTGGAAGGATGCTATTTTTTAATGCAGCCCTTGGGCTTCTCTCACACACCTTTTTATTATTATTATTTTTATTTTTTTCTCAATTTCACCATCACAGATTTAAGCTGAATTAAAAAAAAACCAACCTTACCCTAATGGTTCCCAAGGAAATATAGACAACTTTGACTCTTTATTGTTGTGTTATACAATAGTCCAAATGATATTTGCTTCGGTTGGTGCTCCAGGTTTACAGGGCTGTAAGATGGGAAGATGCACCCAGTGAAAAACAAGTGTGTGTTGGAAATCTGGGGTTGGAAGCAGGTAGCCAAGGGCTTTGTTCAGTCATAACCATCGTGGTGTGTCCCTTCAGGAATAGTTTGCAGGACTGAGCCTTCTTTGGGTTTAAATGAGGAAAGATTTTAAGCTCTCAGGGAGCAGGTGGTGGATGGGTGGAAATGCTGTACTTCTGGGATTTACTGTAACTGTTGAGTTTTGAACTGTTGCTCTTCAACCCCAAGTGCCTGTGTGCCAGCTCCAGCTCTGGCTTTGTCCACAGGCCTTTGAACGTCTGTGCTTCCTCTCCACACATGCATCCTCTCTCAAAATCAGGGGTTTTATGGCCCAGTATATTGAGTGGTTTTGTGTTATTTCAGAACTTACTTGCCAGAAATGGTGGGGAAATACCTATTTATCATGTTGATTTACCATGCACTCCTGCCGCAACCCTAGAAAGGGGAGACCTGGGGAAGAACTTGGGGTAACCAAGTTCTTGGTCCTGCAGATACAAGTCTGCTTCCAGCTTTGTATAGCATGTAGGTATTGACATGCTTTGGGGCAGGGGTATTTGTAAAGCATGTAGATATTGACATGCTTTGGGGCAGAGGAACCCTTCTTTCCTCTATAGCCCAACACCCTGTCCCATCAGTGAGACTTACCATTGTGACCTGAGGGTGATGGCTGACCTCCACATCTTGGGTAAAATGGTAGAGTTTCAGCAAATCCTTTTGAGAAAACAAATGTTTTGGATCTGAGGCTGATGTGAATCACTCCCAGGATCTGCTCAGTTCAGCCAAACCAGACATGTTTTACTGCCGTTCTTTTAGGCTTTAAAAACCTCAGGGAGTCCCGAGCGCTGGGCTAGAGCAGTGTCACCCTGTCCCTGTCACTAATCCTGTCGCTTCCTCTCACGTTCCTTTGTACTCTGCAAATTGTTTGATGCCTCTTACTGTACTTCTATAAAACCTTCCTGCTGGATTGCATGGATGAAAGATTAGGTGTAGAAGTAACATAACCAAAGATTGTACTATATGTAAATAGAGCCTTTTTCAGAGCATGACTGATATTGCTGTTTGTAAATTGATTTTTTTAATTATTATTATTTATTTTTTAATAATATTTTCTTTTCCTTCCCTTTTCAGGGGCCTCTTGGTTTGGATGGCAAACCAGTAAGTAGCGTTGAGTGCCAAATGTAACATGTCTTTATTCATGCTGCTCTGCCAGAGATAAAGAGAATCTCAAATACCCCTCATCTGTTACTACATATATAACAGTTTAGGAGACAAAACTGTACTTAGAAAAAATATTCTGTGGTCTGTAACATATGCAAGTTTAAACTCTGAGCTAGAAGTGACCTTTACTTTACCTGTCAGCTCATCTTTGCTGCTTTTCTTCCTCCTGTGCCAGTTCAGCTGGTGGAGACTCTGTAGATGGGCTGCAGACCAAATTTGGGAAATAAACTCCAGTAGCACCTTGAAGCAAAGTCTCAGTAATCTTGGTTGCGTGCTCCCGGCACTCCAAAGTGGGATCATAAAAATAATAGTTCCCAAACTGGGTTCATTTGCCTTCAAAGGACCAAAGTGGGAAGAGCTTGAGGGTGCCCAGTGTCCATACAATACTTTGTGGAACAGCCTGGGCAAGTTTGCTTCGCTTCATTTTTACTCGGAAGCCCTTTGGACACACGGGTGCTCCTCTCTTTTCTTATTTATTTTACAGAAACACAGACTTTTTTATTTTTTTGCTAGCTGAGCGCTAGCCAGCTCCAATTCCTTCAGCTGGATGGTTGCTACGGGAGGTCACAGCTCAGTATTTTGTGTCCAAATCCCACTCCATTCCACTGTGTTCCCTAGAGGGCACCATTTGAAATCTTTTCAAGCTCTGGTCCTAAACCAACTGTGATTTTTTTCAAGTGGGTAGAAGTGTTTCAGTCTTTGCAATTGAAAATTACTTCAGTTACTTTACCCCTGTACTGAGCACTGGTGAGGCTGCAGCTCGAGTGCTGGGTTCAGTGTTGGGCCCCTGACTCCAAGAAGGACATGGAGGTGCTGGAGTGTGTCCAGAGAAGGGCAACGGAGCTGGGGAAGGATCTGGAGCACAAGTGTGCTGAGTTCCCGGCTGAGGGAACTGGGTTGTTGAGCCTGGAGAAAAGGAGGCTGAGGGGAGACCTTCTGGCTCTGTCCAAGTCCCTTGGAGGAGGGTGGAGAGAGGGGGGGGTGGGTCTGTTCAGCCAAGGAACAAGTGACAGGACAAGAGGAAATGGGCTCCAGTTGTGGCCAGGGCAGTTGAGATTGGATGTGAGGAAGAATTTCTTTGCTGACAGGGTTCTGAGGCATTGGAAGGGGTTGCCCGGGGCAGTGGTGGAGTCCCCATCCCTGGAGGAATTGAAGAGTCATGTAGACATAGTGCTGAGGGACATGGGCTAGTTGGGGACTTGTCAGTGTTGGGTTCATGATTGGACTCGATGATCTTGAAGGGCTTTTCCAATTGAGGCAATTCTGTGATTTAGATACATTTTTCTAGTGAGTCAGGGAGTGGTTTGTGATAACTGTGCATCGCTGTGCTTGGTTTTCATCCTTCCCCTGAAGGTGACAAATGTGAATTAAAAGAAATCTAGAAAGAAAGCATTAGAAAAAAAAAACTCTCAAGAAATTAGGAGGCCAGCTCACACCTCTGTGCTCAGGGCTTGGCTGGCAGAACCCTGTGATGGAAGAGCAGCACAAACCCCAGCAGCAGCCTCCTGTGCCCGCTGCCCGTGGCACACACCTGGGTGCCAACGGCTGTGAGTTGTGTGTGTGCACCGGGCAGCAGCAAGACCTCTGGGCAGAGAAAATCTCAGCGAAAAAGCAAACATCAAACGGTCAAACTGAAACCAGGCTGGTCACAAGCTCTTCCATGAGAGCAAGGGGCCAGCAACCTCACTTAGAGCCAAATTAACAGCGGGAGGGATGGTGTGTGGGGATGCAAATGCTGTCAGCCTCTCTGCTGACCTTCTCACACTACATCCCACCAGGTCCCACTTCAGCAAACACCATGAATTGGGTTAAAACCAGAGATTTGGTATTTTTCTGTGCTGGAAGGAAGATGCAGAGCAGGTACATCAAAGTGTTGCTCTGCGACTTCTCTTTGGGGCTGTAGCGTGTCTCTGCCTGTCTTACAGAAAGCTGCTTAGAGGGAAGATGACTTATGTCTTCAGCAACTAGTCCAAAGAAAGCCCATCCTCCTTGTTTATTTCAAACAGATGTATAATTGTTGTAATGATATGCTGAGCATGTGTTTTTCTAGAAGTGATTTAATACTTCAAGAAAACTCTTACATCTATTTAGAGTCACGTGTTTGCAAGCGGCTGTCACGCTCCCTGCCCTGGTCCTTCTCCAGTCTTCTGTCCTGGTAAGGGCAGGCAGGACCTCGTTGGTGCTTTTTGGTAGCGTGCTGCTCATGTGGAGTAGTGTATGACTTAAAATAATAGTGAACGTGGCTCAGGTCTGTGAATTGGTGAATGCAGCCTCCTTGGTTTTGATGTTGTGTGCATTGATGATTCTGCTGTTTCTTGACTTGGATCCTTCTTATGTATCTCCAGGGACCTCCAGGACTGAAAGGGGAAAAGGTAAGGGCTGCATTAACACGTGGCTTTTGGGGAAGCAGCTGCATGTCTTCTTCCTGCTGTAATTATCTCAGTTCAGGTTATGCTAACAAGCCAATATGACATTACCACTGGGTGTGTTGGGACATGGAGCTGTGACAGCAGGTTCTCAGGTTGCTCTTGGAAGAGCCCCAGGAAGGGGGAGGGCAGAAAGAATTTGCAAAGATGTAGGAGGAATAAATATGTCCTTAAAGCTCATCTATGCTGTAGGGTTCGTGGTAACCCCTTAAGGGTTAGGAGAGTGGCATACAACTCTCTTCTTGCTATCCTCCAAGAGCAAGGCTGTGGGCTCTATCACTCTGTGTTTGCATGACACCCTCCCATGAAATTAGAGCAGCCAAAGAAGGTCACTTCTGTACTGAAAGTGAAGTGAATCTTCACATGTGTAGGACATAAGCAGTTGCTATGGGAGCCTTAGAGTTGGAAACAATCTGCCATTTCTGATTTATTATCTGTTTCATCGCCTGCCAGGGCAGAATCATTCCCTATTGTGTTGTCTCAAGCCCTTCTCCTCCCTGGTTTTGAATACGTTAAGCAATAGGACTCTGGCCACTTCCCTTGTGTGTTGTTCCCGTGTCCAGCTGACCCTACGCTCGGTCCTTTGTGGTTGAAATTTGAACTCTAATAGCTGACCCTTGCTCTTTTGCCTGACATGCAGGGTGAAGCAGGGGACATCGGCCCGAGGGTAAGTAGTGACACGGCACATTGATTTGTTCTAAAATCTGGTTGAGCTTGGTCATTGTCCAAAACAAGGCTTCGTGCAGCTTTGTTGCTGCAAAGTGAGGTACGGTAACAGTTCTGGAAACATTTAATTTTGCTACTGGAGCTCTTTGTGGTGGTGGTTTTCCTAACTTTGACCATGGAGAAACAAGAGCTGAAAATCTTCAGGTACCTCATGAAGAGCTTCACTTTTACTGGACTTTCCTATCCCTGATTCCTTCTTCCAGTGTCAGAGAGAGACTCCATCTTTCTCTCGAAGCTGTGGGCCTTATTTGTTGTCATTAGAACACCAGTATGTGGTGGTAATACCCAGTGTCCCAAGGCAAGACCTGATATGGTGCTGGGCAGGATGGAAAGTTCCTCTTTTGCTGAGCTACCCACCTGAGAGCATAAACTACCTTTGACTGAAAAGAAAGAGGTTAAAGTAACTGTATGAAGAAGGACAACTGTCTTGGCAATGGGAGCAGTAACACGAAGTCTCCCATGTCAGGGATGAAACGAGAGGGCTCACCACGTGGTCTATGGTGTTTCCAAGGTGGACCCCATTGCAGTAACGGAGGTGTGGTTGGACGTGGGTTATGGGCACCTACTGGAAACCCCGTGGTGGGGCTGTTCTGGGATGGTGGTGTACAGGCTCCACGCAGAGGCTGGATTTCGAGCTCTCACTCAAGATTCAGCTCGTAGGTTTAGTTGCTGGAAACGTAGCCAGGATCTTAGTGGTTAATGGTGGGCAGAGATGCCTCGGAGTAATTTTTTTTCCCCAGAGGCTGTTAAGTCACTTTTTGAAGCTGATGTAATTTTCTGAAGTAGCTCCCAACTGCCTTGGATGCTTTTGGAAATGCCACCCTTGGGCTCTGAGGGCTCCTAAAATTTCTCCTTTAGATTTATGCCCTGCATGGCTAAGGAGGGACTCGGCTTAATGTCTCAATCTTGTCTAAGTGCCCACCCACATCTGTAGAAGAGGCTTTAATAGATGATTCAGCAGCACATGGGCAGGAGTTTTCACTCTGTGGCTGGGGCTGTGGATGACTTTGGGGCTGGTGATGATGCCAGAAGCATCAGGCTCAGAGCTTCCGTCATCTGTGCTGACGGACAATGTGGGAACCCACCTCCTGCCACGGCTCCTGCTTACACTGCAGGAGATGCTCTGGGGATGGGCTTCGTCTGGACTCATAGGCAAGTGCCAGCTTCCAAGGTAACACTTGCCCTATGTTTTAATCTACAAATGTAGATGATGCTTTTTTCCCCTCTTGATCTACAGTTGTCCAAATTTCACTGTACTTCTAGATTTATTTATGTCTTTTTTACACACAAGTTAGAAAAAGGCTCAGAAACAATGTGGGAGGAAAGGGGGAGAGACAAGCCTGGCAGAGCCGTGCACAAGTAGGTCTAACAACTCATACCTCACTTTGAAAATATCTTCCTTTATGTCTCCAGACTCTTAGGTTAGTGGATTGGATATGAAACTTCTTAATACCATCTGACCTAGATTATTTTTTATTTCTTAATTTAATCTGTCCAGAAGAAAAGTGCTTGTCAAGCTCACATTGCAGATAAAAGCTCAGCACAGAAAGTGTCCTGCAGAGCTCGCGGTCAACAGAGATCACAGAGTGGTAGGGGTTTGGGATGGGGACCTCAGGAGATCTAGACCAACCTCCCTGCCAAAGCAGGTTTACCCAGAGCAGGTTGCACAGGAAAGTGTCCAGGTGGGTTTGAACATCTCCAGAGAAGGAGACTCCACACCCTCTCTGGGCAGCCTGTCCCA